TCGAGAGGTTATTGAGTCCAGTCCCCTGTCCTCATGGCAGGACCCAGAACTGTCTGACCATCTATCTAACCTGCTCTTAAATATCTTCAGTGATGGAGATTCCAACATCTCCCTAGGCAATTTATTCCAGTGTTTAACCACCCTGAGGCTACGTCTACAATGGCCCCTTTTCCGGAAGGGGCATGTTAATTTCAGAGATCGTAATAGGGAAATCCGCAGGGATTTAAATCCCCCGCGGATTTCCCTATTACGATCTCTGAAATTAACATGCCCCTTCCGGAAAAGGGGCCATTGTAGACGTAGCCTCAGGGTGGTTAAACACTGGAATAAATTGCCTAGGGAGATGTTGGAATCTCCATCACTGAAGATATTTAAGAGCAGGTTAGATAGATGGTCAGACAGTTCTGGGTCCTGCCATGAGGACAGGGGACTGGACTCAATAACCTCTCGAGTCCCTTCCAGTTCTATGATTCTTTATCTTAAGTTTATGCCCTGACACTTGTGACCACAATGAGCATCCAGCACAGATGCCAACACTTAGGCTATGTCTACACTGGCACATTCTCATGCAAAAACTGTTTTGCGGAAGATTTCTTCTGCAAAAACTCTTCCAGAAGAGAGTGTCTACACTGGCATGTGCTTTTGCGCAAAAGCATACATGCCAGTGTAGACGCTCTCTTATGCAAGAAAGCTCTGATGGCCATTTTAACCATAGGGCTTTTTTGCGCAAGAAATTCATGTTGCCTGTCTACACGGGCCTCTTGTGCAAGAACAGTTGCACAAAGGGCTTATTCCTGAGTGGGAGCGTCAGAGTTCTGGCGCAAGAAGCACTGATTTCATACATTAGAACGTCAGTTTACTTGCGCAAGAACATGCGGCCAGTGTAGACAGGCAGCAAGTTTTTGCGAAAGAGCAGCTGCTTTTGCGCAAGATCGCGCCAGTGTAGACACAGCCTTAGTTCTCCCCATACGCTATTTTATTGTCTGTTCTATATAAATGCCTCTGGGCCACAATCAACAGAGGAACTTTTTGGTGAAAGGCGTTCCATAGACACTGCATAAAATATTTTCCCCAAACAGACTGCTGAGCAAAACCCTGATCTTGAAAGGACTTAAAGCGAGTGAGATGACTAGTCTGGATGGTTCCCCTGTGTGTTAAATTACTCAAGTGCCAAAGTGCAGGTGAAAATTGTCTAGAAATTAATTACTAAAACTATAATTAATTGTAATTTAATTATTTCATACTAATTTTGCAGTTTCATAGTCCAGCCTGTATGACCGTCTGAATGACCGTCCCGATGAACTCTTGCACAGATTAATGTTCTCACGCGCCTCCTTTCAAGTGTGGCCCTTTAAGCTTGACCAGCTCTTCAAGGCTACCGCCTCAGTGGGGCTTTCGGCGCGTCCAGTGGCACCACTGGGACTCCCAGCCGAGCAACCGCAAGGCCTTTTGGGACTTGTTGTCCTTTCAAGCTTCTCCCATGATGGCGGTGACGGAGACTGAGGACTACATGTCCCAAGGTGCGATGCGTCGGGGGCCCTGGCGCCTGGGAGGCCGTTCTCTCCTCCGGTGGTAGGGCGGCTAGTTCAAGTTGCCATAGCGGCGGGCTGGAGAGGAAGCTGAGCAGAATTGGGCGGTTGGGGGCGGCGGTGCCCGGATGCTGATTGCTGTGGTCTCTCGCTCGGTGAGGAAGGGGCTCGTAACCCGTTTAGGGTGTCCTGGGCCTGCGTGGCTCCGCGGTAGGACCCGGTGGCGAGGGTCAAGTGCTCGGAGACCAGAGGGCTGCTGGGGACCCCGGGGGGCTGGGAGGGTCTGCGTGGCAGTGAATGAGGGCGAGTGAGGGGTTCTGTGCTGCCCGTAGGGCGCTGCAGTCACTACGGGATAGACGGGAGTGAACTCCCCGGGCCGCCAAGTGTGTTTTGAAAGCTGGCGTTGAGGAAACAGGCTTCCCTGGCGTCGAACGGTGGCACAGCAGCATGTGGGTCCGAGACGGGGGGTAACAAAATTAAGCTGGGGGAACCCAGATGTTGAGTGCTGTGCTGACAAGATGGTCAGAGCATGCTAAGTGGATAATGTCCTCCACTTGTTTGCCACCATAAAAAGTTTGCAGTCTTAGATACACAGGAACAAGGAAACTTGGGGACTCCAGAGGTGAGGATTATTTAAGTCCTAGGAGCTGAGAGTGTGGTTCAATTCACTGCTTGGCCACAGATTTCAAAGCCTGTCCTGGGCAAGTCACTTGTCCTTGCCTGGGTTTGCCGTCTGTAGAAATGGGAATTATTCTTCCTAAACTGTCAGGGATGTTGTAAGAATAAGTATTTTTAAGATTTGCCAAAGCTTTGAGATCTTCTGATGAAAAGTGCTATATGAGAACGTGTTTTTATTGTTGCTATTACATGTTACAGTACCAATATACTTGTTTTTAAAAATGAGGATGTCAGTTCTACAAACACTAAATCTCTTGTAAACATGAAAGTGCTTGCACTTCCTCTTAGCACTCTTATTTAAATAAAGAGGAAGCTTGAAAGCGGTATGAAAATTAATAGAAAATTGTTCTTCTGTCAGATAAAATGTCCTCGTTCAGACATCTTTTGTTTATTTACTAGCTAGTCTTCTTTCAGCACTGCAGCCATTCCATTTTTCAGCAAAAAATTGAACAGCTAAAAATAACCCCCTTACTCCTTTATGTGGTAAATCTTAATGTCTTTTGTGCTGCTTTTAAGGTTATTTATTTCCCCCCCTAATTTGGTGGAGACACTTCTAAAACTTTATATTATTTTCAGCAAATTGACTTAAATGCTTTTCAGCATTTCTGTTATTTCACCGTTTAAAAATAAGAGCTATAATCAGACTCACGTTTTGGAAAAAGCTTTTGTGCCTGTTTAAATATCTGAGTCAAAGAACCCAAAGGTACCTGTCCTAGCCCACTAAAGCAAAGTGTAATTTCTGCTCCAAACTGCTATAGTCTCACCTTCCTTCCTTCCTTCCTTCCTTCCTTCCTTCCTTCAGCACTCAGAAAAGTATGTTGCAGAGGAAAGTCAGCTGCTCATGAGGACTGGCAGGGATCATGGCACTATATGTTACTTTTTGTTTAAAAAAAACATTGCTTATAGAAATTAGAGTAGAAAAGATCTTTCTTATTCCTGGGATATGGGATTTGGAATTGTGTGTGGGGAATACAAATTTTGTGCATACAATTTTAATATACTGCATATTTTATGTCAAAATAACACAATATAATCATGCCAGTTTGAATTATATTGGTAATTTGTTTCAAAATACCTGTCAGCAAGTATGTCTGTAACATACAGACAACAGATTCAGGAAATGTTTTTGACAAATAGATTCCATACTAGGTATTTAAATACAGAATTTTGAGTAATCAGTATAAATTACAATACAGAAATGTATTTTCCTCATCTCTCAGAAGCAGTGCAGCGACTTGGGAGAGCAAGAGATCATGGAGGAACTGAGGGAGAGTGATGTAATTGCAGGGAATGAGCCTAGGATTGAATCTGAAGAATTGTTGGGTGTGGGTGAGAGACGTATGGGAAAAGTGGGGTTTTTTGGGGGGATGGTGGTGGTGGTGATGAAGGGATGATTAGGCAGTTGGAGAGCCTCCCTCAAGCAGACCTTGTCTGACCCTTAACTTCTCCCATTCAGTTAGGCACATCTGCACCTATCCCCATGAGTTCCTGCACCCCTTCCCTCCCATCTCCATGTGTCCTTGCATCCCAGGTTAGCCCTCCTCTGGCTAACCTTTGCCTTGTACCATCTAAATTCCTAATTCCTTCTTTATGGTGTGTTGTTTTGTTGCTGTAATGGCAACTATGTTATAAATGGGATTATGACTTCACATTTTTAACCTGGAGCAGTGAATTTGTAAGACACACAGATCCTGGTTTTTATGTTATCCTCTATATTTAATAGAAACCAGGAATCTCCTTCCTACTACATCCGTTAGCCTCTTCCTATAAAAAGAGAAAATAGATGTAAAAACTATTTCTATATAGAATGTTTTTCCTGAGGTACCATTTGGTTCTTGAATATCCTTACATATGCCTCTCCAGCAGAGAAATGTATACTGTGCTGCACCTTGAAGAATAACTGTTTTCATGTACCTGTTTTTTTTTTTAATGGTTTCAGGTGATGTATGCTTCCACAATTATCAGCACGTGCTGTAATGGTCATCTTCCCTTCAAATTATTATTGCAATAAAAAAATCCTGATTCATTATTTCATTATAGTTTGCACACACATGTATATGTGTGTAATTTTTTTTTGGGGGGGGGGCGATTTTAGATGTTCAAGTTTATATATTATAAAATCCAGTTATTAAAATAAGTGTGCTGACATTCATATTTGTCCTTTTCTCCCCATTTCTCCAGATTCCAGTACATCAATGGCAGATTCATCTAGTGATTCAGATAATTTTCTTTGTGGTCGTGTACGAAGGCGGGGCCCTCTAAGAGTGACCCACAGCAGAGTCCGAAACCATGGTGCTGAAGAAGTTACAGAGAAGATCCATACCTTAGCAAGCACTTTACAGGTTGTTTGCGTAGCATCTGATTGTTTTCTAATAGGATAACATATTTGTGTAAAAGAAAGTACAGGCAGTTCCCGGGTTACGTACAAGATAGGGACTGTAGGTTTGTTCTTAAGTTGAATTTGTATGTAAGTCGGAACTGGTACATATTGTAGGGGAAACTCTAGCCAAACATTTCTCCAGAGCTCAGTTTTATTCTCCCACACCTCACTTCCCTCAGTCCTTTATTCTCAAGCTGAGGTGTCTGCTGAGAAAAGCTGCTCCATGTCTCCCTGGTCTGCTGGGGGGAAGCAGCTAGTGCGGGGTTGCCTCACATTGGATCCCTACTTACAAACGGGGTAAGTCGGATCCATGTAACCCGGGGACTGCCTGTACCAGATTTTCTGAACGAGGTGGTTTAAAGTGCTGTGGTGATGGGAAACAAACTGAAAAAAGTATTTGGGAAAGAAAGTGTGACATGTCTGCATTTACAGTGAAAGTTTTACTGCTGTTTCTGATAATAATTTATTATCATGCGTCCATATTGCTGTTATGCATTACTCATTTAAACCATTGAAAGATCTGGGAATGTCTCACAGAGTTGGAAAATTGTTTGTGAATAGGTGTTTTTTTTTTTTTTTTTTTTTTTTTTTTAAACTACAGAGTTCTGGCAAGATGCATTAGTTCAGGGGTTGGCAAAAGGGCCTCCGTTGGCCAGATCCAGTGTGCCAAGCGAGTTGGTCTGTCCCGCCCACTGGCCAAACAAAGTCAGTGGGTGGGAAATCTGGCTCCGCCCCTTCCAGGGTAGCCTGGGGCCACTTCAAAAATTTCTGAAGTGGCCCCCAGTCAAAAATTATTGCCCACTCCTGCAATAGCTCTTTGGGGGCAACAACCGTCCTTTTGTTCTGCGTTTGTACATTCCCAAGCGCAATGGGGTCCTGGGAATCCTAGGTACTATCACAATACGAGGGATGTTACATTTAGTTTAATCAACTAGTTGAATTTTCCATAAACTAGTTGATAAGTGGGGGCACTGCAGTGGGGTTAGTTCCTGATCCCGGGAGCTAACCCTGCTACTGCTCTGCTTTTTACATTTATTAAGTGCCGGCAGGCTCTTAATACATTTAAAAGGCTAGAGGGCAGCAGGGGGGCCCAGTGTGAGCTGGAAATCAGCTGGCCCAGCTTGTGCTGGGTCCCCCCGCTGCTTTCCAGTCTTTTAAATGTATTAAGAGCTAGCAGGCTCTTAATACATTTAAAAAGCAGAGGCACAACACCTGGTCCCTCTCTACTCCCCTGTACCCTGCGGAGATGGTGCTGGGGGAACTGGCTTTTAAGCCAGCTCCCTATAGCACTGGCTTCTGCTCCCCGCCCCTTACTGCCTCTAATAGCTTTTGCTTCCTGGATAGTCACTTACGTTCCTACATAATATAAGTACAAAAAAAATTACAGATGGGTGTGAGGACAAGATTCCGTTCTCACAGATCTGATAATGTTCAGATGAAGGTTCATGGGCAGGCTATAGTGCAAAACAGTGTGATTGCATATCTCTCTTGTTTGGATGATTTTTAGTGCAATGGCTTCTCTATAGGGAAAAGTAATTCTGTGAAATTGATGTTGTGGAGGTTCCATGTTTTTATGTATCCTTGATTCCAACTCAAACTTGCTCAATTTATAAGTTAAGACTGTTTTTCTGGCTTACAGCCCTGTAGACTCACCTTGAGTTCTGAGTTAAGTTGAGTGCTTTCCTCCTTTATGCATCCATCATCTGCAGTAAAAATGAGGACATGAGTTGGCCTGCAGTATCTTTGCTAGTGGTGATGCGTGAGGAGAGAACCCATGGTGAGTCTGCTGAATTGTAACTTTAAAAAAGGAAAATTTTGACTTGAAACAGAGTATACTTGAGGTGGAATAAATGAGATGAAACCACTTATGAATAATTTTTCCAAGTCAAATTATACTTTAAAACTGCTATTTTCATTCTGGTCTGAAACAAGATTCTGTTTTAGGTGTACTGTGCTCATCATTTTGATTAATGAATTAAGACTTAATATTTCATTATGAAGTAGTGTTGTTCTCATTTTACAGATAGGGGAATAGAGGCATTGAGAATACAGTGAATTCCAGTACTGAATAGAGTCCAGTTCTCTTCAGTCTTATTCCTATAACTAGAAGTTCACACTTCCTTTTTGTTTGACAGTGTTTTATTTTACATTGCTGCTGAGACAGATAATATAACAAAAATGCCAATATTTCAGTTTCTGCAGAGTGCATGCCTATAGCTTCAAGAACAAGTAGTCCTGTGGCACCTTAGAGACTAACAAAATATATATAGTATCATGATCTTTTATGGACAAAACCCACTTCTTCAGATGAGTCAAGCTCTCTCTTATTTATATAGTGAACTTGACAGGTAACTTAACCTCTTTGACTCATTTTACCTATATATAAAATAGAGATAATGATACTTTGGGATCTCCAATGAGATTACTATGATATAAATCTAAATGATTGCTTTAAGGTTTTAGGCTGAAAGGTTTTGATGCAATAGAGTCAAAAAAAGGTTTTGATGCAATAGAGTCAAAATTTGGCTGCTTAAACTTAAGCATCTATTGAAAATGAGTTGTCTTATTGTTTTTAGAGGTGCTCAGTATCTCCAGCTCTTAGGGTATGTCTAAACAGCAAAGTTATTTTGAAATAACATTCAAAATAGTGGAGTGCTTATTTTGAATTTGGTAAATCTCATTCTGCAAGGAATAATGCCAAATTTGAAATAGGTATTTCGAAATAAGTGCTGTGTAGACACTTATTTTGAAATAGGGGGCCTCGAGCCTTTGCAGGGTGCCCTGGTAGCCACTCCAGCCTCAATCAAGAACACTCCTTTCCCTCCCCTCTCCCTGGAGCCCTTAAAGGGGTTGCCTTTAGCCACAGTGTCTGTGCCAGCTCCAAGACTGCCAGCCCAGGGCCAGCAGTCACTGTCCCACCCCAGTAGCCCCAAAACATAAGCCAACAAGCCACTGGCAGCCAGCCCTCTACTGCTCCCCAGGAGCAGTCTGCCAGCTCCCAGGAGCCTGCCAGGGCCCGGAGAAGGTGGGCGTCTTTCTGGTCCAGAGAGGAGATCATGGACTTTATTCAGGTTTGGGGGGGGATGCCCCCAACGTCCATGATCTCCACAGTAGACGGAGGAATGTGGCTGTCTATGGTGGCCAGGCTGGCACCTATCCTGCCAAAGGCCACATGCGAACCCAAGAGCAGGTTTGCATGACAATCAAGTTGGACTGGCGAGGCCCTGAGCTTCCCCTCCCTCTTCTTTCCATTGCTTCCCTCTTCCAGCTCCCTCCTCCCAGGTTTCCCCCTCCCCTCTTCCACCCTCTCTTCTCCCTCTCCCACCTCCTTTCCCCAGTCTCACCAGCGTTTCATTTCTCTCCCTCCCACCCCCAGTTTTGTTAAAATCAGGAAGGGGGGCTAGGGAGGGGGAAGTGGGAGGATGTGGGGGGGGGATGAGGGAAGGATGTGAGGGAGGAATGAGGCACAGGTCCCCAGTGGGGCAGATCAGGGAGGCTTTTGTGCGCCTCAGGGTGGAAGCTCTCCCGCAGGGCCTCCTGGATATTGACAGCCCCTCGATGGACCTCTCAGATGGCAGCCTGCAGAAAGTGCAGCCAGGCTCACAGCAGCGCATCCAAGAGACGCACCAGGGTGCCCAGGGGTGGCTCCGGCTCCATATTGCCGAGTGTTGTCGTGTCCCCAGTGAGGGCAACCAGAGCACAGAGACACAAAATTCTTTGCTGTCCTTCATAGAGGTAGGCAAGCAAGCACAGAAAGCTGAGAACCGGTTGTCCGGGGGGTCCCTTTAAGCACAGGCCTCAGAGAGCCTCAGGCAGCAGCCACACAAAGTAACTCCTGACCTGATGCCCTTCCGGACCTGGTTCCAGCCGGCCTTAAATGCGATTCAGCATTCACTCAGTGTGGATGCGCTATTTTGAAATGCATTTTGTGTCTAGACGTGTTATTTCAAAATAACTTATTTTGAATTAACTATTTTGAAATAATGCTGAAGTGTAGACATACCCTTAGACTTCTGTGGTTGCTCAGCCATATTAAAAATCAGATCATTTATGCAGATGTCTAATGTGAGGCAAATACTTTGTTAGCTTTACTATTAAAAATTAATATGCTTTTTGTTCTTTAGAGAGAAGATTTTAAATTTAATATTCTTTTCTTCTTAATTTCATTCTTAAGGATACCAACCGAAACCTGAGACATGTTGACCAGATGTTAGGACAGTACAGAGAGTACAACAATGAACAAACTGAAGCTATAGCAACTGTGAGCAACTTTCTATGTAACCTTAAGCCTCTTTCTTCTGTATTATAATATAATCAGTTGACAATTGGTGGCTGGCAGTGGGCAAGCTAGAGAGAGAGGTATAAATCAATCTTTAATAGTCTTCTGTACTACTGCCTTTTGAACATGATAGTTTCTGAATGGGATTAGAGCACATTTTTAGTTGGCCTAGTCTTCCTTGTGGTCACTTTAGTACAGGGGTGGCCAACATTGTGGCTCCTGACGCAACTGGGATGGAACCCAGAACTTCTTGGGTCAGTTGCTCTCATGGCTGGGCCGCCGTGTGCTGCATGCGTGCTGACAGCCCGCACCATTTCGCTCATGGCCCCCTGCGCACTACGTCATATCCTGCACGTGCAGGCCGGGTCATGCACAGCCTGCACGTGCTAGCAGCCAGCTGCTGTGCACAGGCAGTGGCAGCGGCTATGGATGCAATGGCAGTGCCAGCATCGGCTCCGGGACCTGGGTATAAGATTAGTGGGCGAGGTGGTTTGGGTTAGAGCGGGGAGGAGAGGTGTCTGGCTCTGGGGAAGAGGAGGGAGATTGAGGGTGTGTGTGCACAGCATGCTGGCTGCTCAGCGCATGCATCCCATTGCCTGGAGGGATATGTGCGGCTGTGGCCCAGGACCCTAATTCTGGGACCTGAGAATTAGGTTAGAACTGGGTGGAAGCGGATTGGTATACGGGGGGGGCAATGCCTGGCTCGGGGGGAGGGGAGTATTGGGTTAGGTGTGTGTGTGTGTGTGTGTGTGCCTGGCTCTGGGGAAGGGGAGGGGGATTGGGTTGGGAGGAGGTAGGTGTGTGTGCGTGCGCGCGTGTGTGCGTGCGCGCGTGTGTGCGTGCGCGCGTGTGCGCGTGCATATGCCTGGTCCTGGGGAAGAGAGGGGGATTGGATTAGAGCAAGGGGAATGCCTAGGGGAGGGGAAGAGCAGCCAGTGTGCTTCCGGAGACCT